TGCCTTCTTCACCACCTTGTCAACCTGTGACGCCGCTTTCAATGAACAATGTACTCGTACTCCTGGGTCCCTCTCTTCCACAACACTCCTCAGGACCTTACCATGAACTGTGTAAGTCCTATCTTGATTTGATTTTCCAGAGTGCAACACCTCATACCTATCTGTATTGAATTGCATTTGCCCATCCTCAAACCACTTCCCCATCTGATCTAGATCCCTCTGTAATTTTTGATAACTTTCCTTGCTGTCAGCGATACCTCCTAGTCTTGTATCATCTGCAAACTTACTAATCATGCGTTGTACATTCACATCCAGATCACTTATGTACGTAACAAAGGTCCCAGTCCCAACCCCAACCCCAGTGGCACATTGCTCATCACAGGCCTCCAATCCATGAAACAACCTTCAACCATCACCCTCTGCTTCCTACCATCGAGCCAATTTTGGTATCCAAATTAGCGAGCTTTCCCTGGATCCCATGCGACCTAACCTTCTTGACTAGCCTGCCATGTACGACCTTGTTAAACGCCTTACTAGAATCTGTATCGACAGCATCCACTGCCCTACCTCATTTATCCTCTTGGTTACCTCTTTGAAAAACTCTGAAAGATTTGTCAGACGTGACCTCCCATGCACAATTCCATACTGACTGTCCCTAATCCGATCTTGACTATCCAAATGTAGGTTGATCCTGTCCCTCGGTATCCTGTCCAATAACTTGCCTACCACTGATGTCAGGTTCACTGGCCTGTAGTTCCCTGGCTTGTCTTTGCTACTTTTTTTAAACAATGGAACAACATTGCCCTCCTCCAATCTTACTGAACTTCACCAGTGGCTGAAAATGAAGCAAAAATCTCTCAGACCCCCTGCAATTTCTTCCCTAGACTCCCACAATATCTGAGGATTGACTTGATTGGGCCCCGGGTATTTGTACACCTTAAAGCGCCATAAGGCCCAAACACCACCCCTCTGGTAATATGTACGCATTCCAAAACATTCCCATATTTCCCTTAATTCCTTAGCAGCCACGATTCTCTCCTCGTAATGACTGAGGGGAAATATTCATAAAAATCTCCGTCATCACCTGTGGCTCTACAGGATATCCATCTTTATATTTTTGAAGACGTCCATGTGAACTGCTTTCAAAAAACAGTATTTCTTTCCCTGAGTTTTCTAGCCTCCTTTTTTTTTTCTCCACAATAAAAACTGATGCGCAATATTCCTTTAATATCTTTCTCATCTCCTGACATTCAACACAAAGGTAACCTCTTTGATCTTTACGGGGCCCTGCTCATTCTCTAGTTGCTCTCTTGCTCTTCGTGCACTTGTAGAATCTCTTTGGATTAACGTTAACATTGTCTATCAAGGCCATTTCATATCCTCACTTTGCCTTCCTGGTCTCCCGTTTAAGACTGCCCCTAAACTGTTTATACTGGTCCAGAGATTCATTTAAACCCAGTTGCTAATATCTAATATGGTTTTTTTTATTTTTGACTAAAACCTGAATATCTTGTTCATCCATTGTTCTTTAATCCTACCAGCCTTACCTTTCAATCTAACAGGAACATCATGATTCTGAACTCTCGTTAATCACATGTTTTTGAAAGCCTCCCACTTCTCAGATGTCCCTTTGCCTGCAGTCTACTCCAATGAACTTCTGAAAGTTCTTGTCTCGTACCTTTAAATTTGCCTTACTCCAATTAAAAACTTTCATGGAAGGCTTATCCTTTTCCATAACTGTTTTGAAACGGATAGAATTATTGTCTATTATCTTGTTCCGTACTGTCACTTCTGCCCTATTACCCAAGAGAAGCTCAAGTTTTTTTTTTCTCTTTCTTTAGTAGGAGCATTGACTTGTAGATAAAGAAAATGTTCTTGAACACACTTAACATTATTATTCACCATCCAAACCTTCAACACTATGGCAGTCCCAGTCAATGTTTGGAAAATTAAAATCACCAACTATTACAACCTTATTATTCTTACAAATATCTGGGATCTCTCTACATATTTGTTCCCCAATTTGCCTCTGACTGTTGGGAAGCCTATTGTACAATCCCATCAGATGATCATTTCTTGCTTATTTCTAAATTTAAACCCATATGTTTTCACTGGATGATTTTTCAGAGATATCTCTTCTAGTTACAGCAGTAATGTTTTCCTCAATAAAACGCCACTCCCTCTCCTTTCGCCTCCCTTTCTATCCTTTCGATAGCTTCTGAAACCCGGAACATTAGTGTGGGCAAAATATCTTGCAGGTGGTGTAAAATGTTAGAAAATGTGAAATCATTCACTTCAAAGTTTTTGAGAAGACTTGTAGCTCAGATTGTGATGAGGTTGTAGACTTGCTCACCAAGCCAGTGTGCTGTCACCAGATGTGATGCCAACCAGCCCAGCAAACCAAGGCATATAAGTAACAAGCACAGAATAAATAACCAGAACAGAACACCGACACTTCACTGGAGGCGCGTTGACAATGTTCAGGTGAAACATACCAGCTCAGCGAGAAAGTCTACAGCCTCATCATTCACTTTGGCAGGAAGAATAAGTAAGAGCAGAATTCTGAGGTGCAGAGGGATTTAGGGTTTATAAAGTATGAGTTAGCAAGTTAGGATGCAGAAAAGGCATTAATCATTGGGTCTTTTTCCATGCTGTCTGACCCTTCGCTCCAACTTGTCCATGCCAACCATGTTCCCAAACTAAGCTCAGCCTGTCTTCCTGCGTTGTCTCATGTCGCTCTAAACTTTTTGAATTCATGGACTTATCTAAATGTCTTTTAAACATTGTAACCGAGTACCCGGATTCACCACTTCCTCTGGTTGTACATTCTGTACACTGAGCACGCTCATGTGAGGAAAAATATTGCCCTTCGTGCCTTTTTTAAAATCTTTCTCCTCTCACCTTACAAATATGCCCCCTGGTTTGGAGCTACCCCACTTGAGGGAAATGAACTTTGCTACTAACCTTATCTATGCATCTCACGATCTTAAAAATCTCTGTAATGTCACCTCTCAAACTCC